CCTTAGCCACACCCCCTGTCCGGGCGCTTTCCCATTCACGGAATTCGAGTACAGTAAAAGCCATCAGGATGACAGACGTGAAAAACATTTAATTAAAGGCGATTTCCGAAGAGTGAACGCACCAAACCGCTGTTTGAGCGGGAGGGGTGGGCGCAGCGAGGGCCGGGAGTGAAGGGAGAGGGATGGGGCTGGGGGCCGGGACCTACCGCTAGCTCCTTGAGTTTGTGTGTGGAGAGCTTTTGGCTGCAAAGAGTATATTTAGACCCTGAGACCGTGGATTTGGAATGCCAGCGGGTTATGTAACAGGGTTAATCAGAAACACTGGAGAAAATCCCCTTCATGTGTTTCTGAGGCTTTTTTTTTTTTAAAGAAGGGGGGATATATTATTTAGGAAGTCACACTGATTTCTGGTTTGAGCTGCTTCTCCCCTCGGTCTTAACCCCCCCCACCCCCAAGTTTGTTGTTAGCGTCTTCAGGTGTCATTCTTGCCAGAAGGTGTTCTTGCAAGAGATCAGGGTGGCAGGCTGCAGAACCAACTAGCAAATCCGTAACTTGCTGTTCTTGCAAATTATATAACGCTGGGGCATTCAGTACCACCCGCCCCCTGGGCTCAGCTAAAAGGGAAGAGGGACAAAGAAGGGGTGCATCTTGAACCGCTGACCTGCTGACCCATATCCCCTTGTCCCTAGAGGGTCACCCCCCACTTTTCTGTGAAGCAACCCCTTGTCCACCCCTCAGGAGATTTCATGAAGGGAGGGAGAGGAGGTAAGGCCCAAACACTCAACTCACATCCTGCACGCAGGCACTAGGTTATATAACAGTCTGAATGGAAAAAGGAAGGTCAGAGATGGAGGCATCCTTTAGCTAACACAGCAGTGGTAATAGCTTCCAGAAATTATGTGCATTTGCAGACTTTAACCTCGGATGTAGCTTCTGCTCCTCAGGGGTACTGATCTTTGTGTGTGAACTAGGGCAAAAAAGAGAGAATGTGTAAGTATGCCCGGTAGATGAGAGTGATTTGAAAATGGGAAATGTTTGGGTTTTCAGATGATGTAATGGAGTTGGCAGAATATGCAAGTCGGCTCCCAGAGTGTAAGCAGCAAGAAAATTGGAGCTGGCATCCAGTATTAATGTTGCATAAATTACAATATCGGAAAGAAATTAACCTACACACTAGGTGATTACTCCTTTTTAATACTTAAAACATAGAGGCACACAACTCAAAGGAAAAGCAAACATCATCACCTTATAATTAGCATTTTCAACCTCAAGGAAGGTTGAGTGGAATTCTTGGCATTGGGTGAAGTGGGAAGTTTCTTGATTTGGGAGATGCTTTCCTGAGAGGTTGCAGGGTTAGTGTCCATCCAGCCAGTGTTCAAAGGCCACAGAGATTGTGGTCTGGATTCTCATGACATTGAGGTGACCTTATGAGACATTACCTAAGTAAACTTAAAGCTCTTGCTAGATTCCGAACTCCTGGGAGTCCACGTGTGAATTGGCTGTTGTATGGTTTGTGCCTGAGCGTCCAAAATCCCATGTGTGACTTCATAATCTGAAGGATGGCTCCTCTCTCCCCTAAAAACTGAGCAGGGAGTGTTAGCAGTTTTAATGAAAATTGTCCCATTTTTTAGGTAGTATTAATGGTGGCTGGTGTCACTCAGTCCCATCTTTAGAAAATGAAAGGGAAAAAAGAAAGGCAAGAGGCAACATGGGAAGTAAGAATGAAGCGGAAAAAACCACAGTGAATCTTTAATTTAACAAGGCTTTCAGGGACTTCAGGGAACCATGAGCATTGTGACATAACTGTTGTTAAGAACCTTTTTCCAGAATCTCGTTATTATATGCATGCCAGAAGCTTACATATTTTACTTCACTGAAGTTATCCTCACAGGGCCGTGTGCCACACAGTTGGTCGGGAACACCAGTGCTGAAGGTTGAATGCTTTTAGGGCAGGCCAACCTAAGGGAAAAATCGAAACCAAAAGATGAGATTAACACTGAAAAGCTCAGTTGGGTTGAGATTGAACCCCCTGGAAGCTCAGTTTAAATTTATTTAAAATCAGTTAACAAAGCCTATAGTTTATTTGTAGCCCCGAGGAATTCTAGAACCACACACATCTTGACTTTGAAAGTGTTTCGCCTCCACTCCCCCCTTCAGTCTTAGCTGATTCACTTTCGGATAGGATGCTCTTGCCTGGCAATTTAGCACCCTTTCTAGAGACTGACTCTCAGATCAAGTTTTCTTACATGGACCTAGCTCTCCACAATAAACAATTGATGCCCCATAGTTTAAAAGAGATGCTGGCTGGGATAAGAATCCTTTGCCAGAGGGATGGAATAATTATTTTTTAAACCACGGGACTTTAATTTTCCAGTAAATTGCTCATAAAAACATTTATAATTATAACCTCTAAAAATGTAATGGAATAATTTTAGAAAATGCATTTGATGATATTTATGATAAGCTTTTCTGTTGCTTCCCTCTTATTTCTTAAAAAGAATTGAATTATTAATCCAGAAGTCAAATCTTCAGTGGCTAAGAACATTTATAGCAGACTCTTTTTATGTTAGTCACCTGCTGGAATTTCCCAAAGCCTTCTGGCATTATGAGGAGCCCTTGGCTTTAGAAAACATCTCTGTTTCCAGCATTGAAGTATGGAGCCCGTGTGGAAGCCCCCTAACCATGAGGCCTGTAAGCTCGTGTTTTCTAGGCAGCAGAGGTGCTGGTTCAATACGCCTAAGTGAGGTGCAGGGAGGTATGAGAATGTTCGCTGCAATAGTTGTGCCTCCAAATGAAAATGTTCCATGAATTTTTGGTGACAACTGAATCACTTTGGGAAGCAGACTGACCCCTGTCCATCAGAGCTGACCTTTGGAATGTGTTGAGACAAGCCTGTGGGTCTCCTTGAGTTAAGATGCACCCTTTTCTCCCATTTTGGGGGGCAGTTCTCCCACCTTTGCCTTCAGGAAGTTGCGGTGCGCCCGGCGGGCGTGGCTTAGTGGTTGAGTGTTGACCTGGGATCCGGGAGATCACAGTTCAGTTCTGGGTCAGGGCACATGCCCGGGTTGCGGGCTCAGTCCCTAGTTGGAGGCCTGCAGGAGGCAGCCGATCAATGACGACTCTCTCATCATTGATGTTTCTATTTCTCTCTCCCTCTCCCTTCCTCTCTCTGAAATCAATAAAGATATATTTAAAAACAAAAACCCCCACAACTTAGTTTTAAAAAAAAAGAAAAGGAAGTTGGGTTGTGATGTTGGAAGGGCAGACTGAGTTGGATGTCACTGGAAATTCTTTCGCATGGTATGTTCTCTGCAGCATGTGCTGCTTTTCCTGAGTGTGCTCTTTCTTTCCCTTCCATCTTCCAAGTCTGCTTGATGAGCTGTGCTTCTTAGCTTAAATATGTACTTTGGTGTCTGTAGAAGCAAAATGCGTAACTACATTTTAGGTGTCTGGGGAGAGTCATAATGTTACTGCCCCACATGCCAAGGCTTTTTTATAGAAAACGCAGCTCTCCTCATACGATGTTTCCTGCGCTTACCCTCTTTGTCGCCCATGAGCCGGTGTGAAGGGACTGTGAGGTAGACATCATGCACTGCCTCAAGGGGATTCCTGACCCGTTCAGCCCACATTAGTGGTGAGTTCTTCCAGAGCGAGAAGAGGCTGCTTTGAAAGGCCTTCAGAGTCTAGGCCCCTAACCTAGAGTGTGGAATGCTTTTGTGAATACAAAGACTGTCTTCCTTGGTGAGAATCTAGGAACAGCCTCCCTTTCTTTCTTTCTCTTTCTCTCTCTTTCATCTATTATTTTTTTTAAATTGTTTTGTTTTTATGTGTGTGTGTTTGTATTTTATCTCGTACGTGATGGTGATGGGAAGTGTTGGTTTGGAAATGAGCTATTAAATTTTTCACCCATTTTATTCAGCTTTATGTTTAGAAAAATAAAATTGAGTCATTTTGAATTACTGCTTCAAAAAAACTCTTCAGATAATTAGTGTTTGAGTTTTGATTAATTTTAAGTAAACCATGATTTTTCTATAAGGATACTAAGGTGTGTTACTTACGGTTTTTTTTTTTCTTTTGGGCAAACAGATTAACCAGATTTTTTTTTTTTTGGTCTTTTTCTTATTGAATATATATATTTTAATGGTTTATCCCCTTTTCTACCCTAAAAGGAACATTAAGGATGTAACTGAACCTTTCTTTGAGGTTTGAGGATCTTACTGTGCTACAGGGTCACTGTTCTGAGGATGAGTCCTGATTGTACATTATAGAACTGTAAGTGGGGACAGAGCCAGAGATTGGACTAGATCCGTCCTGATCCCGTCTTGGAAATTATTGCGGTTTTTGTTTTCTTTTATCCATAATAGCAGTATGTTTTGTTATTTTTCCCTTATTCTTCAAGTTGCAAGTAGCAGAATAGAAATTCACTTTAATCATTTGATTCTGATTAATTGAGGTTTTTACTTTATGGGAAAATTTCAACCCAAGCCTAGAGCCATAATTTTTTCTCTGGAGTTGTAGAGGATGCAAAATCATTCTCAGATATTCGGGAGGGCTATTGTATTCACAAATAAGCTATGCACTGTAGTATTGGTAGCATTGTGTAAGTACTCCCCTGTATGATAGTAGATAGAAATGCCAGCTAATTTTGCCTCTTGCTCAGATATGTTCAAGGCATATCTTTGGTAAAGTGTTCCATAAATCTGGAAAGTTAGGAAATTCAAGGGTTAGAAGGAAGATGTCAAAGAATATCAATAAAGAACACTTAGATTCCCCCCAAAGAAACTCTTTTTCCAAGCCTAGGCCTGTGTTCCCTGGGCCAGTAAGGAAGGCATCCCTGGGACCACACGGGCAGAGGCTAACTTTCCCAGGGCCCTCCCACTCAACTTAATGATAATCTGTGGTTATCTTTTGATATCTTGGATGCCATAGTGTTGGGAATTCAGCTTGGGAGTCTTGCTCTTCTTTTGCGACGTCCCAATTACTTATTTAGTTTTTGCTTTTGTAGTAAAAACATCAAGGAGATTGTGTAAAGAAATCCTTAGAAGCAGGGATCAGGGCATGGTGAGGAATACCTGTGCAGGAGCCATGGTTGAGGCAGGCTGACTGTGCTCTGGTTTTTACATGCTAATGTTAACAGGAATTATAGGTAACAATTCCCTTGTGCTGATGGAAGAACATTTTTTCCCCCTAACAGATGTTTATGGCCCTAACTGACACGTCATTATTGCAAACTGTCTTATCATATTACGTGCTCTGGCACATTGACAATGCGTGGCGCTGTGGTTTCCTGGTGATTATCTTGTCCACAGAGCTAAGGCTTTGGTGGCCAGCTGGGGAACCCTTTACAGTGTCCCCTGACAGCTGAGAGTGCAAGTACCCACATCCTTGAAAGGACTGAAGGACTCCAGGCTGCCCCAGTGCTGTGTTCTCTGAAGCTCAGTCAGAGGCTGGCAGTGAGCAGGAAGAAATATGGTATAGAAGATGTATCAGCTCCCAGCCCCGCGTCATCTCTCATAGTGCGGTTGGGCATTTGAGTTTTGATAATGAACTAACAGTTTTTAAATTATTAGGAAGTTCCTAGGTCCATGACCAGACTATAATAGGTGAAACTCTTTGGGGTACAAGGAAGGGTGCCACTTAGTCTACGATCCTCAAGCCTGTGAAAGAGGCAGCACACTGTTAAAAATACCTGGCTTACTTTGGGGGAGGATTTGGCTGAATACTGATGAAGTTTATGAAATATGAATGCAGCGAAGTTGCTGTACGTAAGTGGTAGGCGTGTGTGAAAGAAGTAAGAAGAAATAAAATTGTGTATAAATGACACTCTGAAACTTGATGGAATTGTATACGTGACAAGAATGGTGACATTTGGGTCTGTGCTTAATGGGGGAAAATAAACTGGCTTAAAACCTATATGTCAAACTAGATGTGGGGATGAAAATTACTGAATATGAAATCATTTGACTTATTTTATAAGCAAAGAATGCCACTAAGGATAAACAGGCAGGCTGCAAAAAACAGAGGTGGAACAGAATAGGGGGGGAAATGAGGGACCAACACTTAAATTTGTAATGAGGTATGGTAATCACTGTTTTAACTAATCCAGAATATTAACGGTGCTGCTAGGTAGAGAATTAGTTATAGCCAAGCAAAAGGCATAAATATGAATTTTAGGTTGTTTTGGGAGAAATCCTCTTGATCCCCAAAGTATAAATGCATGTACTGAGAAGCAAAGCTGCACGCGATGTAATTTTTTCTGTCTTATCCTGATTAATTGACAGCCACTGTATGCCTCTTTCCTGAAGGTGACTTTACAATCTCCAGACACAGACATTTCTCTCAGAAGTGGAGTGAAGGAAGAACCACAAGCTAAAGTGTGATTCGCTGGGTGAAGTATTTTGGGGAAAAGATAAGAGTGGTGAAAATAGGGGAATGGAGTAGTGCATACAGAGATTAAGAATGCCTGTCTGGGGCTGGGGAGTGGGGGCTGTGAATGAAGGAAGGGAATCTCTAGAGGGAAAAGAGCCTTCTGTGCAAAAGAAAATTAGCATTGCCTCTGAAATGGCTGGGAATGTGCCTTTCTAATTTTAAATTATCTTTAACAAGGGCAGTGAAAAGAGGAAAAGTTGACACTTTGAGAAGTTATGATGAACTTGTCGAGAATGCCAATTGACAAAGGCAGGTAAGGGAATACTTGGGGAAACAGAACCAGAACAGTTCTGAAGGGCACGGTGATCTGCTTCCTAGTGTGTGGAGGAAATCAGCTGGCGTGTTTATTGACTCTTCCAATTAGTTTTAAAGAAACCTGAAGAACTGGACAAAGACGGAGAAAAGACCACCAGATGTGATTCTGCCCTTCCAGAAGATCATCCCATACAATCAATGCCAGTCATGGGGAGGAGCTAGAAGTTAATGGATTTTCAACATACAGATCACAGAAGAAACAGGATATATTTAGCAAGTCTACAAACTCTTCAATAAACTGCATTGCTTTTTGTTTTCACTGTACAGTTATAAAACCAGTGGATGGTAAGAAGGCCACAGTATAGCATGTACTCCTAGGAACAAACATTTGTGTGATGGGGACGTTATGTCTGAACAGACAGGGCAACGGGGAGGGTGAACTGCTCATAACTCTCAATTGTCCAGGTAATGAAGCATTGGGAAAGCAGAGGCAAATGAAATCCTTCGATAATCAAAAGTGATTCTTCTTTTAGTGACTGTGTTAGTTGACTGATGATGACAAGTGAGAAATGGCCAGAGGTGTATTTTACCATTTCTGGCACTCACGAACCACTCCTGATGAACACAGTTATGCAGAAAGTGGACAGTTTCTATAGACCTGGCTGTCAACCCAGAAGATGTAAAATTTCACAGTGTGAAGGATGAAGGTTGAAGATTAGTGAGGTTCTACGACTTCCATGAGGCCCTGCAGAGAATCAGCAGGAGAACTGATGCTACTCTGAAAGGGCTCTTGAAATTTCTAAAGCTCGCATTCTAATCTTGAGCTTGGGGGTGTATGTTACATATGCAGTGCTTACTCTATGATAATATATAATAGAAATAGCTACAGATATATGGTGCTGCCACTGCTTATGTTTTATTAGAATAAAGCCTGGCTGAGCCAGAAGGGGCCTGTGAATCAGCTGGCCTGGCCTCTTGTTTAAACTGATACCCCGAGATCTAACAATGCGTGTGAGGCCTCGCTCCTAGTGCACAGTGAGGCTGTGACTGCAGCACTAGTCTTCCACTTCCTTACCTAATATTAGTTCCTTCCACTTGTGTGCTGTGCCAGGATGCTCAGAAGCTCCAGTACGGTGCAACATGGAGTTCCTGCCTCCCGGAAACCCCCCGAGGATACTAAGATGCACATGAGTTAATCTAGCACTCGGCAGTGGATATGTATGAAAGAAAGTGTGAGGTATTTTGGCTGTTTATCAATAGCGGAACATTGTCAGTAATTGTTATGTTTTTAAAATTCCACTGGTCATTTTCATTTTTAATTAAAAATTAGCCAGAGAGCTTGCAGCTGTGCCAGTAAAGCCGTTCTAAAGCACAGCAAAAATAGTGCTTGCGTGTCATGGTCTGGCTTAGTGGAAAGTAAAATACAGGACATGGAGTTGAGCGTCTTGTAGTCAGTGCTTGCCGGAGTTAGACGCAGCCAGGGGTGCAGTGGGAGAGGATGTATCTCCGCCACAGTCCTCTTGCAAGGCAGACGGTTTAAAGTTGTGCCTTTTATGAGGTGCTCAAGAGCAAGTCTGCAAGTGGAATACTACATAGCCAGTGAAAATCATATTGTACTAGAAGAAAAATATTTATTAACGGGAAAATGTTTATAATCTATTGCTTAGTGAAAAGTCCCAGCTTCCATAGTGTTGTGCACAGAACGGTATCCTCTTTGTAAAAACTACAGTGTGTGTATGTGTATACATGTGTATATAATACACACACGATATTTGAATATATGTGTGTATGTGTATATATGTATATGTGTGTATATGTACACATGATATATATGTATATGCATGTATATATATGCACACACACATACATATATACCTATTAACATGGACCCACATATACCTAAGTGATGAAATTATAAGTGGTCATCTCTTAATGGTGGAATTATCTACGAGTTTCTTTTTTCTCTGTGCTCTTCTGAATTTCAGTTTCCTGCATGTATTGCTTTTGTAACTAGAAAAAAATAAATTTTAATTTAAAAAAAACATTGTTTGTGTGTCATGAAACTGGGGATACCTTGAAGGAACTGATTTTGAACTTAGCATGTTGCACAGAGTATTTCAACATTTCAGGATGAGCCAAGTTTACGGCCTAAAGAGCAATACCTTTGACAGTCACGTTCAGCCAGAAAGACAGGGTCATTCAGCTTGAATGTGAAAAGGAGTGTCCTAATATTGGTTTTTCTTGCCCCTCTAGGGCATTGTCCTTCAAGTGTTTATACTGTGACCTACAATAAGGAAATACTGCATCGTGAGCCGGCACAGACACACACACACACACACACACACTTGAAATAAAGTTTTCACATAAAATATTTAAGCTTTACCTGTGATACAGTTATTTTTGCTCTATTATTTAAAGACAAAGTATAACTCACAAGCCACCAAACTGACTTTATGATCTGTTTTGGGGCTATTCCTGCAGTTTGTAAAACCTTCTCCTGGGCATGAGGTAGAAGTAGCCTTTCATGGGAGGGAGGAAGGAGGTAGGGGAAAGGGAGGGTTTACACAGTAACTGATGTTGAACTCCAGATGTTCCACATAATGATTTCAGGGAGGAGGTGGGGGAGGGAAAATAATATAAATACTTATTATTTGTAATCATACAGTATCTCTATGCCACATTTAGCAAATGCTCATTAATATCCTATTATGTTTGGGCATGCTTCTGCCCAGACTGGCTTAGAATGTAAATTCTGGGACCCCCTTTGCTTGGAGTTGATGTCACTGTGTAAAAGCAGGAGGGTGGCATTCTTTCATTCAACAAATCTTTGCTGAGCACCTTCTATGTGTCAGGCACTGTGCTAGGCTCTGGGGATGAAGCAGCAAACAGGTGAGGTCAGAGCCCTGCCTTCCCAGATCTTCCATTCTGGTGGTGGTGTTTCTCAGTGTAGCCTCCTGTCTGGGTCACCTTTGACCAGATGCTTCTGATGGTTGTCCTCTAAGTGCATCGTGGGCTGGCCTTTTTCACCCCTATTCCTTCTGTATTGCTTCTTCTTTCCCCCGCCCCTCGTTCACCCACTCTCCCTTATCTATTATGTCACTGTCTCTCTTTGCTTATTTAAATCCTACATGCATGTTAGCTCCAGATAGGATACACCCTCTCCCTCCCACAGTTCCCATGACCCTGTCTTTTACAGTAGTCAGTTGTGTGGGCCTTTTTCATTCAATCAGCATGTAACCTCTTCCTTTGCAAGGCTCCTTTATGCTGTCTTATAGTGTTATTTCCTGGGTAGGAGTGTAGTCACCCCCAGGAGAGAATGAAAGGGAGGGAGGGAGGGAGGAAGAAGGATGGAGGGAGAGAAACATTGATGTGAGAGAGAGACATCGATTGGCTGCCTCCTGCACATGCCCTGTCCAGGGCCAGGGAACCCTGCAGCCCAGGTACGTGACCTTGACCGGGAACTGAACCCAGGACCCTTTCTTTAGTCCATGGGCTGACTCTCTAACCATTTGCCACACTGGCCAAGGCAGGGATTATTGCTTTACTCCTGCACAGTGCTGGCAAAAAGCAGGTGCTCACTAGCTGTGCACATAACCTCTCCCACATTGCCCCGCAGAGCTGTTTGCTTCCTCAGTAGATTCAGCTCCGCACTTACCAACACTGCAAGCCCAGCTTCTACTGCTTATTCTTCCAGCTGGGCCTTGGATTTGGACCTGGCCACCCTTGTTCATCCCACTTCTGTTTGCCTTGGATCCACCAAGCCTCCTCTCAGTGGCAGGTTCAAGCCTGTTCCAGTCTTGAGCAACTCAGATCAAGGCTGGATGTGTTGGGAGATGGCATGCATGGTTGTTACAAGCCTGCCATGAGTGAGACAGACCGAGGCCAGAGGCCCAGGTGTGCTGTGTGTGAGCTGTGTGACCTTAGGTAAGTTCATTAACCACTAAGTCTGTTTCTTTCATCACCTGGAAATTGAGGATGATGATGGTGCTGACTTCCCAAGGTGGTGAGAAGGTCACAGGATTCTGCCTGTCGCATCCCCTGGCAGGTTGCCTGGCACACGTCTAGTGTGGTGGTGATGACGGAGGACGTATAGGAGCAGTGGGGCCCTCTAGCCACCTCTCCCTGTGTCCTCAGGTCTTTAGCTCCCTTTGCATGGAGCATCTCCCTTGGCTCTGATTGGCTGCTCTGTGAAATAAGTAGGAGTTCCAGGGCATCCAAGTCTAAAGACTTTCCTTTTACTGCCAGTTTCCTTTCCTGGACTGCATCCTGCCCCAGTCCCTCAGCTCAGCTGCCATTGGATGGATCCTGCCAAGTGAGGTCAGATCACCTAAGTTCAACCCCATCGGCCACTTGTTGACTTCCCTGAGGCTACACCCCACACCTTGAGCTGAGCTAGAGGAGGACCCATGTCTGGCTGCCCCCTTCTATCCTGCCCCCACTATTCCTGTGGTACCCTCTGGCTGCCCCCTCCAGTCACTGAGGCTGGGGGAGCTCCCTCTTTTCCACTGTGCTCCCCTGTTCTGTCACACCTCATTTTGTAGCAGCCCATCGTTCCTTGCCCTCCCTACCCTTGTACTCACTTTCTCCTTGCTGCCAAAAAATCACATTGGAGTAGCTTGTCTGCAAGGGTTCCATTCAACTTGTTCTACATTAATGCTCCACTATGGTGACCCACTGCTGAGTCTTTCACTTGTAATGTAATCTAATAATTTACATGCACTTTGCAAGCAATACTCTCAGAGTCTCACAACCTGCTTCAAATTGCTCTGCTGTTACAGTATTTGAGCTGATGAGAGAGCAGTGAGAGAAAGTAGTTATTGGTACACAATGGAAGTGGGTAAACCCAGGAAAATAATGTTAGCACAAGGTAAGGGTGTGCTGATGGATTGTAATATCCTTTCTTGGAGAACTTGCTAAGGGTCTTTTATTGATTTTAGCTTGTAATTAGCCTAGGATAGGTCAAAGTGTAGTAGGTGTAGAAGCATAGCAAGCTAGAAGCTGTGAACCAAGAGCTGAATCCTGTCTTTGTGGGATGCTGTGAAATGCTTTAGTTTTGATATACTACACGACTTTTATAGAACTAATTGGCACTGTGATTGGGCTGTTTTATTTCTGCACTCAAACATGTTGGAAGCTGATTCTAATATGCAGTAGTAATGAAAATAGAGTAACGCTGTAATAATGCTGCCATTGTAAAGTGAATTACACCATTAAGCATCTATTTTGTCTAATTTGTATTGTGATAGTGTGGGTGATACACAAATACGGACTCAGTTAGAGTGGTTGGTTTTTAAGAAACAGACTCTAGCTGAGAAGCCCCAATCCTATAATATTAAACAGTCAGTAAATGAAAATAAGCCCTTGTTCCATGACAAAGTGAATTTGTGTATATTTAAATATAATTGTGTATATACATATGCACACACACACATACATGTATGTGTATATACACACACACACAAGCACAGGCACAGAGGCATATTGTGCCAGTCAGGCAGATCAAGAAGATATATAACTGTGTCATAAAAATGCTTGCCTTGTGTTGCCTTTTAACAAGTAGGCTAGTCTTCAGGGGCCAGGTATCAGCTATGGCAGGCCAAGGCAATAACAGCATCAAGGCCAGGGTTGAAAAACAAGTTTTGTGTATTTGTTTCAACCTCTCCATCCTCATTACTATGTCTGAGAATTTTCAGTAATTGATATTCCTTAAGTTTGGGAAGGAGCACTAAGGGCCAAGGAACTACGGTCACTATTTTGTCATTTGTCTCCTAAGGATGGAGACAAACAACTTCTTTCACAATAGATAGAGGCATATTTTTATGCCTTAGGTCATAAGCTAACCCTAAGAGCAGAAACAGGATCCGAGAAGGCAGCATCAAATGAGGCCGCTTGCCCAGTGGGACCTATAAATTAAAAAGTCCAAGAATGTGTTACATTTTGACTTGGTTCCAGTGACTTTATCCCGTCACCGCCCAGGAGCCCTGTAATTGCCCAAGAGTTTCCAACCATTAGGGTGGTATCTCCAGGGAGATCCTGAAGATTTACCTGGTTCATCTCTAGTCTGGATTGCTTTCTTCCTGCCTCTTCTTGTTTTCCTGCATTGCCATCCAGAAGGGATTTTACTGGGAGCCTCCATCTCTCCCTTGCTCTTATTTCAGTATTTGCCTCTGTAGCATTGTCAACACCACCACTTGGTAATCCAGAACCTCAGAAAGACCTTGTTTAAAGAGTTGAGATCTTATGTAGTTTAGAATACATTTAACTTTCATATACATAATGCTTACTCTGATGACCAAAATGTTGAAAATAAATTTGCTTCGTAAACCACTATGCACTCCCCTTATCTCAGTGCATAGTTTAAAAGGATGATTTTAAACTCCATGAACATTTGAAGGGAGAGCACATAGCATCGATCAATGCCTGGCATCTAGATTAAAAATATATTCAGTGGAGAAATTTTATTGCAAACCTCATTGAAAAATATCAGTATCGTATTGTGTCTAATAAAATGTTATAATGAAAATTACCATGGTGTTTGACAACATTCCTTTATTAATTGGTCTTTTCCATTATTATTTTCTTAGTAGCAAACACACTCTGGTTTTATTGCTCATTAGTTATATAGTCCTTATTGAATTCACATTTTGCTGCCTCAGCTGTGTTTATCTTCTCATCGGTCTCAGTTCCTCCAGGGCAGTGTTGTAGACTGTCTTGAGTCTTCTGTCCCATATCTCTGTCTTTTACTTGAGCATTCAGTGAATGCCCCTGGGATGCTAATGACAGTGCAATTTAGAATC